TACAAATCTCACGGAGCCTGTTTCAGGGGCCTGAAAGCAACAACTCAGTACTCATGTGGGAGATTTCAATTAAAAGAAAAACAGTTAGTAGTTATAGTAGTTAAAATTCTTTGACAGTAGCCTTTATCTCATTGCAGATGGTTGTACAGACCATTCCTTACACTTGGTAAATAAAAAATCAGTCTCCCGCCTCTCGCAAAATTGTCTGCCTCCAGCATCAACTGGCCTTTTCTGTTACTCTGAGCTTAGTAGCTTGCAGGTGCAGTGGAAGGGCACCCTTTTGTTTAACTTGCTGTGTGCGTGAGATGCATGTTGCTATGGGGACCATTCCCAGAAATGGGCTGGCCAAAATGTCCTGAAAACCCAAAGTGATATGTGGGTAGGATTCAGTTAATTCTTGAGTTTGACACCTGTGGTTTGAAGTCTTTGTGATGCTGCTGTAGTAAAATAAAGCCTCTGACAGCTTTGTGAAGGTCGAAAATCAAAACACCGTGCAAATGTTATGACCCGACTCCCTGGTTAGTTCTTGTAGGGATTTCTGACAGAGACTTACGTGCTCTCGATTTTTACTCCTTCTGTTCACCCCCTGCAGGATTCATGCAGAATTCCAGCTCAATGATATTCCAGATTTTCCCTTCTGGTTCACACCAGGCCAGTTCACTGGCAATATTGTCCTTTCTAAAGACGCCTCTCACGTCCGCCTCTTCCACCTTTATGTCCCCAATAACAGGTAAATCCCTCTCATACACACACAAACTGTCACACGTGTTCATATACTCCCCTATCGATGGATCGTTGTGAAGTTTGGGTGCCACCTGTGCTGTGTTACAGGTCTCTGAATGTAGACATGGAGTGGCTCTACGGAGCCAGTGAGAGCAGCAATATGGAGGTGGACATTGGTTACCTGCCACAGGTATGGCTGTTTATCTCAACACTAACTGTTCTCATCACTGTGTAGCTACATCAGTATTGTTTTTGGCTGACTGTCCTAACTTAGTCTTTAAGTTAAGTCACATCTATTTGATTTCCAGTCAATCAAACAGTATTAATGTCACGGTAACTGCCTGTTTTGACTTTAATTTAAAATACATATGGATTAAATACTTATGAACGTGTGGAATTTCACAGAATGTAAAAGATGATCCTCAGAAAAGACACACAAGAGTGTCTGATGTAAAGCGTGTGTACTATGTCTAACGAGAACTTGCGTTTGCAGTTAGAGCTCCAGTCGGCGGGCCCGTCCACTCCCTCCGTCATCACTGACGAGCAGGGTAATATCATTGATCGGCGTGACAGCAGCAATGAGCCCATCCAGTTTGTCTTTGAGGAAATCCACTGGACCTCTGAGATCAGTCAGGAGGAAGCTGCTCGCCACGTGGAGGTCACCTTCTATCCCTTTAAGAAGGTAATTCTCTATGTTCGAATAAGTTGGTGATTGTGTTATTGCACACAGTGTCGGTGTAACACTGTGCTCCTTCCCAGGTGTCCTACCTGCCTTTTTCAGAGGCTTTCGATCGAGCCCAAGCAGAGAAAAAGCTGGTGCACTCTATTCTGCTGTGGGGAGCTTTAGATGACCAGTCATGCTGAGGTGAGATAATGTCATGCTTCAAAAGTGCATCACAGTCATTAAATTTAAGCTGCTAGCTTTCTAAAGGCATACCATTACCAATTAAATATTACTGTAAAGTGCACTTAAGCCCATTTTCTGAAATGGCAGGTAAATACAGGTGTTACTAATGATGTACTAATTATGTTAATTAAGGATCTGTGACAGTTACTCATGTCATTATTAATACCTGTGCTGGTTAATTATAATTCATTCAGTCTGCCAACTTTGACGACCATTACACCTATTTGGAGTTCTACCTTGTTCCTAATATGTTCACCGTATCTTTGTCTCCTCCCCACGCTTTTATAGGTTCGGGGCGAACTCTCCGGGAGACAGTCCTGGAAAGTTCGCCCGTCCTCGCCCTCCTCAACCAGAGCTTTATAAGCAGCTGGTCTCTGGTCAAAGAGCTGGAGAACCTGCAGGTAAGCAGCTACAGTGATGAAAAATCCAGAAAGTTGTGCAATTACTGAAAAATGTGCTTATCTTCTTACTTTAAGTACAGCTGTGTTTCCACTTAATAAATATCCTGCTTCCTGTTTTCCCAGGCTGATGAGCAAAACTCTGCGTTGAGTGAAAAGGCTCGCTTACACCTTGAAAAGTACAGTTTTCCTGTGGAGATGATGGTGGCTCTGCCCAATGGAACCATTGTAAATATTATTTTTCATAGAATTAAATCATAGGCAAAAGCACACTATTGGGAATATTAGGATAATAAATGTTGGCTATCTGCATTCTCCATGTTGCATTAGCAGTGAAACGACACAGTCAACTGTAAGGCTGATGGCAATGAAATAATAAAAATGAAATACGGTAACATTAGCTTAAGTGGATGCATCATATCCCTGTAAGTGCCCACTAGGGGTGGGTTTTTATAATCGATTCATCGATTAAAATCGATTCTGGCTTGAATAATGTAAAATCGATTCATTAAAATCCTGAATCGATTTTTTTAATATAAATTTATTTTGCCCGAAATGCCAGAATCTCTGGTGACATCTCACAAAATTTCAAGAACCACCAAACAGTTAAGACAGTAAATGAGAGCAGGTACATGGATTCTGCACATAGACTTAAACACACAGCGCCCCGCGGATCAGAATCAGATGTCGCCTTTCTCACAGTCGGGGCTGAAAGCCGACAGCTCGCTGATTCTGATCTGTCGGCGGGTCCGCGCTTTGTGTTCACGCCCTTAATGAGCCGATTCTAAAGCTGTTAGTTTGAGCTCTCTCCAAACAATATTGACCGAACCAGCAGCAGAAGAAGATCCAAACGCTTCACATAAACATCGTCATGAATTCCCTCTGACTTTTACTGTTTTGCTTCCACCGTGATGCACAGCTCTCCCTCTCTCTCTGTACTTCAAGAACAGTTTCCCTTTCTCATTATTCGCTTGCTTGTTACGCACAAGTCTACTGTTGTTTACAGCGCTGTCAGCCGCTGTTTTTTTCCCTTTTACATTCTTCCGAAAAGAGAACCTCATTTCTGCTGCTGAACAAATTTAAACTTTTTAAAATTATTCAAAATGCAAACCGCTGTAACGTCAGAGGTAATGTTCATATGTTGATTAATGGTTTTCTTTCGTTTTTGATGTACTGCAGAATATTTTTATAAAATCCCAGGCCAGGAAAATCACCTTCATGTTTTTCTGTGTTTTATCTTCAGCTACTTTGACACAAAAGCATCTGTGACGCTCACACCTTTGATAAAGTCTTGCGTGTGTCAGCTTCCTTTTTATTGATACAAAAATATGTAAATGTACTGATCTGAATTATAATATTTCTGACTGTCAAAATTTCCCAGATTTAAATCGAATTAAATCGAATCGTGGATCGAATCGATTTGGGACCTTGTGAATCGGAATTGAATCGATTCTAGAAATCAGTGACGATACCCAGCCCTAGTGCCCACACACTAGCCAAGCATAATAAAACTGGCAGAGATATGGAAGACTCTGCCAAAAATGTACTACATAGAAAGTTATTTACAGTTTTATTAGCAGCTATTGCAGAAAGTCTTACTTTGAAAATGCCATATTAACCCTGACTGACCAAGTATAGATGCGAAGAAGAAAGAAGCCTCTAAAGCCTTTTATCCTCTTTTATGTGGTTTCAGGTTCATCACATCAATGCCAACTTCTTCTTAGATCAAACTGCCATGAAACCCGAGGAGGAAGAAGCAACTTTCAGCTTCTCTGGCGGCTTCGAAGATCCCTCCACATCCACTTATATCAGCTTTCTGAAAGAGGGCTTGGAGAAAGCCAAGGAGTACCTGGCACAGTAATGTGTTTGAGCTTAACCAGACTGGGCAAATGATCCAAGATTAGGAAAACCTACTAAGCATCTGGTGGCGTTCCTCTTCTGTGTGTGTTGGCAGCTGGAAACATTTTTGCCTTCTGTACTCTTTGCTACTATTTATTTGGACGACTCTCTCGGTTAAAAAAAAAAAAGAAGTTTTATATAGTATTTGTATTGTGACAAGTAGAAATCCAAAGGCCTTCCACGCTGAGCAGGAACAAATACAGTATGTCACACATTTAGACTTGCTCTTTATCCTTGTAGCTGCTGAATAACTTAGCTATAAGATATAGATGGAGGCCTACCAAGTCCCAGTTTAGTGTCAGTACCATTCTTTAGTGCGTTACATCCAGTATTGTGTTCAGTATTTCTTCTTTTATGTGGTGGTGTTGCATGTGCAGTATTTATTGACTAACTGAGCTTCTCTGCTGAGTGTACCCAGAGACGGAGCTGCTGTTGTTGTTTCCTCCAGCTGTGTTTCTGCAGTTAGTGAAGGCTTTGCCTGAAAGCTCTCCCCGAGCTGGGTAATGCCTGATGTTCTTGTTGAGGCTGCTGGAGGGAAACACCCTTCTCTGACTCGGGACAAAGGCATGAAGAGGAACTTAGAAACTGGACTGGAGAACGTAAAATGAATGAATCAGACGTTTTCCCATATAGCTTGTGTTTAAAACCAAATGTTACAATCTATTCACAGAACGATATGACCACACCAAAGAACTTCTCTTTTACTGTGTAAGCAGATGAATTTGTTAGGCTGCTTTCCTATTATGGCTCATATCTGTGTAAATCAGGGTGAAAAACAGTTGGATTGTTTCTTTAGTGAGGAGCAAATAATTTCTCTGTCTCTCTTCCCATCGTATAAACAGAACAGTTGGCATCTTCAAGTCCTAATTTCAGAACAGAAGAGCCCAATGATCTCACACACACACACACCCATGTGAAATATCTTGCTGCTTGGAGCCTTTAGAGAGAAAACTCCCCCAATATTCTTCTGTAACTAGCAGTGCCGTTTGATTTTCACTTGTATAACAAAAACATTTTTTTTTAAACAAAAAGAATTGTTTTCTTTATAACACACACACACACACACGTTTAAATTCACATTGTGCTGATTTTTATTAACGCACCTACAGTACTGTAGAGTGTAGTTAGAGTAGATTGGTCTATCAGAGTAAGATACAGCCGAATGACATAATTACATGAATCTGAAGTATTGATTTTTGTACGTTCAGAAACCACAGTGGTGAATAGTGACAAATGAGGCTGTTAAAGTCAGAAGTACAGATGATCTTCTATTCAGAAGGCTTTCTAAAAGCGGAGCTCCAAGTGTTCGGCGTTCATTTTAGCCGTCTGCGTCACCGATGAACGAAAAGCCATTAAAGTGATGATTAGTGGTTAAGGAAGGGAAGTGTTTGCGAGAGTTTGGGCTGTACACATGCAGTTCAGAAAGCATTGAAGTGGGGGCATGCTTTAACTATGAAGGGAAACGTTTACACAATAAATAATGGGATATTGTGATGTTACCGATTCATATTAACAGCAAAGTGCAGTCTGAGATTTATAACTCACTCCATTTGTAACGTCGTCCATCCAAAAATTAGGATTCAAAGAATCCAGTTCTGCTCTACAGTTCACTGTAGCACAACTTAGTTTGTTTGCCAAACCCACAGGAATGAGTCGGCCACTAAGCAGTCCACCCTCAGAGCCCACTCTGACAGTAGGCTGTTACGGATCAGCTTTATTTCAGTTCACTTTGTTAAAATCCACAGCACTTAATCACATGGATTAATCCAGAAGTTTAAGGTTGATTGTTTTCGTTTATGGATGTTACCATGAAATGAAGGAGCTGCTGCATGTTTCCGCTCAGTGATAATTCTGTCTCAATTAAAGCCGATCAGCAGCGACGACGTGAAACAAGCTGAAACGTCGTCCAATCTCCTCAGCTGAATTTCCACACTTCTAGCTCCATGACTCGGAAGTCATCGGTTTCTGAAAGGCAGCAGTTATTAAAAGTGTAGCAGGGACTGCTACGGCCCAGGTATAGGTTCTCATCCACCCACAGACCGAAGTGACCACTGTGGAAAAAGAGGGAGACGGTGGTTAGCGAAAGGAAACCGACCCTTCTTGGCTTGGTTTGAAAATTAGAGCAATATTATTTTTTGTAAGCCACAGAAGTATAAATTATGGAAGAGTGGAAGTCGAGAAAGCTACTTAATTACCTGCCTCCACCAATAGCAAAGCAATCCAAGTCTCCCTTAATAAAAAAGGAATTCTCTCCAGTCCACTTGAAACACTGCAGAGAGACATCAGATAATCATCTCACATTTATAACACACGGAGTGTCTCTGTTTTACCTCCATCAATTCATTTTCCCAGGAAGCATCATTCATCACAACTCAGATCCATTCCTTCAGTCATACCATCCTGTTATTTTGCATTTTAAACGGTTTAGAATATATTTTCTACACTAAAGAAAAAAAAATCTGGATTGGTTACCTTGAAGCGAGGATGCAACATGAAGAGAAACGTTTCTCCTGTACCGTAAAACATCTCACTAGACCTCAAAGGGTGAGAGAGGAAGGCCCCAAATATCTGATTAGAAAAAGTCATAAGAGAAAATTAAAAAACTAAAGACTAAAGATATATATTGTTTATTTGAGATAGAATAGTTCATTTTTACCAATCGATATGTTGGTAAGTCGCTAGTATCGGCCAATATTTGCAGATATATTGGTATTTTCAATTCAATTTTATTTAAACAGTGCCAAATCACAACAACACGGAAGACCGTACAATAATACATACATATATATTCATTTATAGCAGCTGATGAATGATAAATTAAAAGACGAGAAGGGAGAAACACCGTTCAACCATATTATACGCGTTAATGTTTCAGAGTTGGCCATCCTGCAACCTCCGTACTGTAAATGTGTGTTTGGAACACCACAAACACGACAACCAGAATAACCAGCTGATCTGAGAGTTCGGCAGAGCGTGAAAAAGTAATTCAATTCAACAGTCACCTCAAGGCCTTTTATATTGTAAGGTAAAGACAGTACAATAATACAGAGCCAAGCCTGACAATCAAATATCCCCCATTAGCAAGCACTTGGTGACAGCAGGAAGGAAAAACTCCCTTTTAACAGGAAGAAACCTTCGGCAGAACTAGGCTCAGGGAGGGGCAGGGCCATCTGCCATGACTGGTTGGGGGTGAAAGAAGGAAGACAGGACTGTGGAAGAGAGCGAGCGATTAATAATAACTAAAGATTAAATACAGAGAGGTGTATAAACACATAGTGAGTGAAAAGGTGAGTGAAGAAGAAACAGTGCTTCATGGGAAGCTCTCAGCAGTAATCTATGACTTGTGGCAATAAAGCAAGCACAATCATATTATCTTAACAAGTACTTATAAATACTACACATAACAAACATTAGGGAAATCTGCTGATAGTCTACCGATTTATCAGATTTTAAAATCACCAAATATCGGTCATGGAAATCCTAGACTGGTCTGGCTCTAGAGCTGACAGTACATTTTTACCTCATCGAGCGCATCCTTGATGACAATAATAACAGGCGAGTCCGTGCCGCTGAGTTTTCTGTAAAGAGACTTGAGGCTGGCGCCGTGACGCGACGTGCTGTAAGCCAGCTGCCATGTGTAGCCAACAGTCCTGGGAGGAAGCTCCTTACACAGCTGGAAACAGATGAAAGGCGGGAAGTAAAATAAATGAAATGAACATTAGAAAGGGTGACATAGCAATTAAATACTGGAGATACCATCTGTGTGTGTTTTCTAGAAAATGTTAGGAAACTGGCATTTATTCATTTCTGAATAATGAACTACCTGTAATAATAATAACAACAATAACAGGCATTGAAAAAGTAATGGTATCTCTTCCGTGTTTTATTCTGCTCATGTGATTGTAGCGTTTTCAGTGTGAGAATCATCCCAGTCACTCCTTCAGCATCTGCTGACTACAGGTCATTATGCACATGAACAGAAACGTCTTTCTGGGAATTCCTTAACTGCATGATTGAGCTTGCATCAAGACATTTCTTGTCAACCTTTAATTAAGCAGAAACACCACAGAATGAGTGCCACTACTCTAGGACATCTATATAAGAGCAGTGTGTGAGCCAACTCAGCTTTCTTTAAATAGTCTCCTGAAGATACTTGGCCATAAAACACTAAGCAGTAAATCTAACTGTATTATACTGTCGCTTATGAGGTCAAACAGTTCTTTTCTTACATCATTTTAAATAAGATTAGCTATTCCTCTTTCAAAGTAAGAAAACAAAAACCCACTTTACATTTATCTTATAATCTGATGAAACCCTTTAAAACTTGGGAGGCTAAAATGATTTTCAAATGCATATTTAGTTTCATCAATACTTACTTATATTTACTTTAAAAGTCTCAAAAAGGCAAAAAGGACAGTAATTTCTGTTGCATAAAGACAAGCTGTTGTTTATCATAAGCCCGGTTTTAATTTCTTTATGTCTTTACTTAAAGAACCTTTAACTTCTTGTGTCCCCTTGAATTCTGAAGCTAAACCTAGATGCTCTTACATCATCAGATGATTAAAACTCACATATAAACGCTTGTTTGGTCTCACCAACCTCTCTGACGTGTGAAGCCTCCAAAATCTGGCTGTTCTCAACAATATTACTGAGTCCTTCGGGGTCTCTATCAACGACCAAGAGCGGCTTGTCTCTACTCTCCTCCATCAACACCATCTGCAAAAAGACACTTGTACATTTGAAAAAAGCTGTTTTTCTTCTAGAATATTCTAATAAAAACAAGTTTTTCTTCATCAGGAAACAAATGTTTTAACCTGCAGTGCAGGTCACAAACTTACAAATGTTATTCTCCATTATCGGCATAAAAGTCCGACTGACCTCATCTCTCATCATCTGCTATCCTGTGAGACCCAAACAATAATAATCCACTCACTTCCCAATCGTCCCCTGAGTGTCTCTGAAGCAGCTTGTCCTCATCCTCCTCTTCCTCCTCCTCCTCGTCTTCAATGAGTACGAATTCCTCATCATCACGGTCTCCCTCCCCGTCCTCCTTTCCTCCCTCAAGCATACACAAGTCTGGTCGGCAGTGTTTTAAGTAGGCGTACAGCTCGTCGGAGCTACAGCAGGGAGGAGAAGGCACTCGCTCAGAAATGTTGAATCGACAAACAACACGACAGCTGCACCAACACAGTGAGAGCGTGGCACCCGGGTGTGGTTTTCTGCTCAGCTGCAGGCGGAGAGGTGGGGAACGCTGGTTCAGCTCGTTTATGTGGCTTTCAATTATCCTTTTACTGCCGCAGATTTTCTGGTTGCATTGTTTTCCTGAGATTCAGCTTTCTCAGAACGGAGTCAGTGCTTCGGTGAGGATCGCTCAGTTAAAGAGTCACTGTTTGGACTGCATGGATGTTACATTTGAATAGCCGTGTGAGAAGTATTCACAATCATTTACTTGAAAGTAGTGATGCCAGAGCATGTAAGAAAATCAGAAAGAAAAACAGCAGTAGGGTCGAATTTAGTGTTGTTACATTGTTTCTATTATTACTGCATCACTATTACTGATGCTGGCTTACGCACAGCTAATTGGAACTACTTCATACTATAGATGAGAAGGATAAATGTAGCTGTGAAACAAAAACACTAGAATTTATGAAATGTTATAGAGTAGAAATCTAGAGTTGACTAAAACCATTATACAGATTCAGGTACTGGCACCGAGTCTGACCAACATCGTTTTATTATTGGATGCCACAGTGGCCCTTATTATGCACACACAAGCTGACAGACTGACTCTATTTTTCTGAAGACAAAGTAATGTTTATGTGTCCATTGTTCGCTGAGTGGCAAAAGATAAGTGTGCCAAGTAAGCATTTAACGAAGTGACCCTTGTTAGCACGAGTACAGTGCTGGAAAAAAGCACTTTTGTCACACTTACATGTTTCATTTCATCAAACAAATTTAAATATTAGGGGTTCTTCTGACCTCCTAAATAAGCCTCAAATGCACTCTCTGAGTAAATTTGGTATGCTGGCCCCTCCTGGGAAAGTTCACCACTGTTCCAAGATTTCTCAGTCTGTCCATAATGATTCTTGCTGGAGTCCCAATGCCTTGAAAAAGACCCTTTGCAGAGTAATAAATCTCAATGACTTGGCATTTTTAGATTGCCCCATAATATGATGCTTTTGAGGTCTATTAGCCCACTTCAACTTTGCCACACAGGTTCTATTTAAGTGATTTCTTTATTCAACAGGTCTAGTAGCAATGAACAAGTGGAGGGCTTTACTTTTCACACAGGGTGTTCACAGCACTGTAGATGGATGACAACATAGCCAGTTAAAATAGTTGGCATGTCCTCTCTAGCTCAGAAGATTTTATATTATGTTAATAAAAGTTGATCAGTGCTTTATCGGTATCTGGAAATATGACGTTGATACCTGAAATTGATGGACAAGACTGTGGGAGCCGGAGAATTTGCTAAAGCAGAAAGACGAGGACTTGTGTAACAGAATGACGACAGGGTGGAATATTTAAATACTTTAGTTCTCTGGCTGAATGTGCTCCTCTGAGTAACCTGGATTATAGAGCACAGCGGCGTGGGCTCGAGATTTAACCAAGAGCTTTCATTATAAAGTGCAGTTGTAAAGGTTAGGAGTCTTTAAAAAGCTCTCCTGATTTGCATGACAAGAAATGCAGTGATTATTTTAAGTCTGATGGAGTTTTTCTTTAAATCTTTGATACTTTTCTTAGAAGTGCTTTGGTTACCTTTCCTGTGACAGTGCAAGCCAGGTATCCCTTTTAGGTAATGCTTTGGCTGGTCCGAGGTGAAGACCTCCGACACCCTTTTTCTTTCCTGCCGATGGCTGAACCCGCAGCCTCACAAACATCAGACCCCCAGGACTGCTCGCTGATGACCTCTTAGGTGCTGTGAAGGAAACAAAGAGCAAAGATGGCCTCACGTCAAAGGAATAACACATCTAACACATCAGCCAGACAGACATACACTCAACAAAAATATAAACGCAACACCTTTGTTACTGCTCCCATTCCCCATGGGATGGATGTAGAGACCTAAAATTCATTCCAGATACACAATATAACCATCCCTCCCAAACAGTGGTCACAAATCAGTCCAAATGTGTGGTAGTGGGCACATCTGCTATATTGAGATAATCCATCCCACCTCACAGGTGTGCCACATCAGGATGCTGATCTGACATCATGAGTAGTGCACAGGTGTACCTCAGACTGCCCACAACAAAAGGCCACCCTGGAATGTGCAGTTTTTTGCGCTATTGGGGGTCTGGGGACCCAGAACCAGTCAGTATCTGGTGTGACCACCATTTGCCTCATGCAGTGCAACACATCGTCGCATGGAGTCTATCAGATTGACAATGTGGCCTGTGGAATGTTGGTCCACTCCACTTCAATGGCTGTGCGAGGTTGTTGGATATTCGTGGGAACTGGTACACGCTGTCGTATACGCCGGTCAAGCACATCCCGAACATGCTCAATGGGTGACATGTCTGGTGAGTATGCTGGCCATGCAAGAACTGGGACATTCTCAGCTGCCATCTGCCCTGAACAATGTGAACCATGATTCATCCGTGAAGCGCACACCTCTCCAACGTGCCAGACGCCATCGAATGTGAGCATTTGCCCACACAAGTCTGTTATGGCGACGAGCTGGAGTCAGGTCAAGACCCCGATGAGGACGACGGGCATGCAGTTGAGCGTCCCTGAGACGGTTTCTGACAGTTTGTGCAGAAATTGTTTGGTTGTGCAAACCAATTGTTGCAGCAGCTGTCTGGGTGGCTGGTCTCAGACGATCTTGGAGGTGAACCTGCTGGATGTGGAGGTCCTGGGCTGGTATGGTTACACGAAGTCTGCGGTTGTGAGGCCGGTTGGATGTGCTGCCATATTCTCTGAACCCCTGTGGAGACGGCTTATGGTTGAGAAATGAACATTCAATGCACGGGCGACAGATCTGGTTGACATTCCTGCTGTCAGCATGCCAATTGCACGCTCCCTCATTGCTTGTGGCATCTGTGGCATTTTGCTGTGAGACAAAACTGCACATTCCAGGGTGGCCTTTTGTTGTGGGCAGTCTGAGGTACACCTGTGCACTACTCATGATGTCAGATCAGCATCCTGATGTGGCACACCTGTGAGGTGGGATGGATTATCTCAATATAGCAGATGTGCCCACTACCACACATTTGGACTGATTTGTGACCACTGTTTGGGAGGGATGGTTATATTGTGTATCTGGAATGAATTTTAGGTCTCTACGTCCATCCCATGGGGAATGGGAGCAGTAACAAAGGTGTTGCGTTTATATTTTTGTTGAGTGTAATTCACATTCAGACCTGCAGTTTGATTTTTTACAGAGGTCTTCTCCATTTCTTCAGATTGCAGTTGGTCCATGTTCACTTTGCTCGCCACCTCTTGACTTCCACAGCAGAAGGTGGCAGCACTGCTCAGGACAGCCAGGCTGCCGACCGATGCTTCAGTCAGCACCTCCAGAGGGCTGCTATCCAGCTCCTGTTCAACTTCAGCCATGTCCTTGCTCTCTGCCTCCTCATCTTCAGAAACCTCCTTGGTCGGGCTCAGAGCCAGTCTGGATAAATCAGCTGGAGCAGCAGACACCAGAGGTGGGCACGACTCCCCCTTGTGATTCAACTGACCTTGTTTTTTGGCCATTTTCAGCTTCTGGAAAAGTTTTTTCCCTTTTCTCCTGAAAAAAGTGAAAAAAAGTGGTTATACTGGCATTTCATGTAATCCGATATCCACGTGCTTAACTATGCATCCCTGCTGACCTCTGCTGAGAGGTGTTGAAGTGAACATGTGAGATATCAGAGAAGAAGGAGACAGATGCCAGATTGTCAACAGAGTATGACAGAAGGTACTCCTCGCAGCCATGCTCCTTCACCAGAGGATGTGTCTTACACGGATCAAAGAAGATTTTATTAGAAGTCACCAGCAGGATGCCTGAAACACAACCCTGACAAAGAGAGACAGAAAATGCTAACGTTAACTTACAAACGTCCAAAAAAAAACCCAACCTTCTTAACCTGTTCTTCAGACTCACCTTACGATCAGTGATGTAGCGGCAGATCAGTTTGAGATATGGCATGGGCTCTGGTCCCTCCCCCTCACAGCACTCTGGTGGCAGAGCCAATAAGCAGAGCTGCCCATCAGGCATCGGTACTGCCTCCACATCCTGTCGGGATCGCAGGTAACAACAAAATACAGTGTTTAATAGAGAGTAAAAGGACTTTTAGTCAACAAGCTTTTTGGCTTTAGTCAATGTAAATGTTTGACCTGTTTCTGTTTTTAAGGTCTTAAACTGAAGATAACATCAAAAGCATTTTATATCTGTATCAGTGCATCATTTGTCAGATGTTGCTGTTTGTTCACTGCCCACATCACTTTTCCAGCCTGTTCTCAGAGCTGTGATGTTTTTGCTGCTCGTTTCCACAGTAACAGTCATTTGATTCATTTTACAGCCTTCTGGCCTCATGTTTTTCTCACCACGGCTAATAACCGTTATTAGCCCCATAATGAAATCTTCTTGTTTTTTTCATTACAATCATAATCTTCTTCAGCTTCTTTATTATTAATCCATCGTTTTTCACGTTGACTTGGCTGTGGATCACCTTGTCATATTCAGCTTTAGTCAGGTCTTAAGCAAAAGCACCAATATCTGAGTTTATAAATACTTTTATTAATAACAGATCTGCAATAAAAATCTGACTCTCAAAAAAAAGCTCAAAAGGTTAGCACGAAAATGCACCCTGGGTATCAAAATGTCACTTGGAAATATCAAAATATTAAATATGAGTGAATATTTTCATGCATATAAATATAAAAAGGATGGGCATCACATTAATTAATTAATGCCATGAACAAACATATCTAACACATACTTTGGGTGCTGAGGATATTTACAATCTACAATCTAATTTATGAGAGACTCAGTATTTAAAATGTTGACCCTTCTTCTTATTAACTTCTGTAATTCTCTGTGGCACGCAGAATATCAGCTTCTGGGTGAAAACCTGATTGATGGGGATCTATTTAAGCATTATCAGCTCCAACATGCTAGAAAATGAACAGATTTAAACAGAATTGTCCCTGAATTGTTGGAAGAGAATGTTTTTTTTTCCAGTATGGTGCCACGGGGAAAAAAAACCAAACATTTGGGTGTTTTGTTAAAATAAAACTCCGCAGGGAACGTTTCGACTTGGAGTTCAAGGGGTAATGTGATGTTATGACCAGACAATGATTAACCCTGAGATGATCCTGAGGACATTTCGTTATTTTCATGCTATTTTGGCTGTTCTGAATGAATATAGCTCATATCTGTCATTACTTTACGATATTATTTTCTGTAAATTTAAGAATTGTTGTCTCAGTTTCTTAAAATGGCTGAGCTATGCAAAAAAAACGCCACATTTTATCCAAAGGACAACTATATTTTTAAAAGACTGAGTCATTTAAAGTGGAAAACAATATTACTATATAATATTTTTACAGCAGTTTTGGGGAAGATGGCGTTTTCTGTCCTTAGAGCAGAGAGAGTCAGGATTTTTAAGGATCCTCTAAGGGTTAAATACAAATTACATCAAGAGAAGCTGTTATGGTTCAAAACAGCCACTTATTTTTTTGTAAGCATTTACTGCATTTCCCTCTGCAGCTACCCTGGCCAAATGTTTACACAATACAACATGTTCTGCTGCACTTATCGGCTGTTTATGAGGAGAAACCGAACCTAATAATTGCAATAAATGCACAATGTAAGAGTAAAAGGCTGATTAAAAACTGTGATCTGGAGCCTTACAGATAAGTAAGGATGCATATCACATGGCCTAAAATGCCTTCAGCAGCTGGCTCCTGGGTTTGACTCCCAGCCAACTGGACCTTTGCTACAAATCATTCCCCGATGCTTTTCCCACTCTTCCCGTCTGTCTCCACTACGCTCTCTGAAAAAGGCAAAATGTCTCAGACTACCACATTTAAGTTCTTACGCTTTCTTAATATGGCACCAATTCCTTACATTAGTCATTTCACGGTCCTTTCTTTACACTGTCACGTAAATACTTTTTATGATAAAAAGAAATCCAACAGTTCCCTTTGAGCAAACACACCTTAATGACTGTTTTCTCTCATTAAACTGCAGGGGACAGTTAAATGCCTCACAAACCAACCAAATTATACGTCATACAGAGTCCCATATTATGGTGCCATGATACTATCCCTGATTCAAACACTGATGCATCAGTTTTAAATAGAAATGTTTATGAAACCACTCTTTTATTATGGCTTTGTAACCTGATAACAGGCAGAACTGGAAACTGAAGTGGATTCAAAAGTCTAGACCCAGACACATGTTACTGAACGATGCTACAAAGTCTTTATTATAATCTTATATACAAAGTAACTATGATCCTCAGCTATGAAAATAGCAAATAGCAAAGTATATCTGTATAAACCATAAAGAAGCATAAAAGTGGGCTTTTTTTTACCACTTACTTTCACTTCAGTCACATTTTTTAAAAACAACAAAACTGCAAAATCAGTACTCTCGGGATTGCACCACATGCTATTATTATCAGTTGTATTTCTGCTTACCAGTAGTTTGTCGTATTCTGCTTCTGGTGACGGGGACTGAGGCTGAGCAGCGAGTGGATTCAAAGGGTCTTGATCTACTTCCGCTTCTGGTCTCTCCTTAGTATCGGAATCCAGTTCTGGATGCGACGATCCTTCTCCAGGAGAAGTGTTTTTTCCTTTTGGGACGACCAGCTGCTTAAGAGAAAATGCCATTGTAAGAATAGCTGTGACACTCACGTGGGCACACCGTGTAACACTGGAAGAGAACAGAGCAGTTCCTCATTCTACAGCCCCGCATTTTCCTACTTCTTTGTTTGTAGTGACATCTAGGCTCCAAATAGGGCTCTGGATGCGAGGTTGAGCACTTTGTTTTACAGCCACAATATACCAATTTAAAGCATTAATGTGACAACACTTAAAGAAATTATGACTTTGAGCCTGTTCTTTCTCATAAACATAAGTTCTGGTTGGGTAGTGATGCATACATTGGTTTAAGGTGGAGCAAAAAAACAAAACAAAACACTTTCACAGGCAGGCAAGAGGGAGGCACTGCTTTGCATTTCAAATCAGCTGCAGCAGATGTGTCATTCTGATGTGTGTACACGCTTAATATGTGAGTCAAATGTCAGCAACTATCGTGTGCTTACAGTTGACACTTACCTCTCTGGCGATGAGGGTAGCAGACGACGAGGACGGTTTAGTTCCTGTAAGGGTGGACTGGTGACCCATGTCGCTCTCCTCCGTTGAGGATGCATTACTGTTAAACTTAGATGAGACGCTGAACACACCATCCCGAGGGAGACCCTGAGTGGGGAGAAACACAAACACAAGAAAGTCTCCGTCAGTAAATTGAAATGTGATTACACAACACAAGGAGAGGTCATATTTTAATAATGAAAGATATAAATGGGCCTGTTTTGGATTTGCCTAGTACACTACCGGGACCAAATAAAATATATAATCGTTCTGCATTTTTTTTATTTGACTGTTTGTGTGCAGCAAAAGCCATTCGGTTCCTTATCAGAGAGTTGGTTTAATATAAATACAGCCTCCTTAAATGCACATGGGGACATCATTTGTTATGGAGCCCTCTGTGCGCTTCCAGTTTAAACAAGTTCAAACATCAGAGAATCGGATTGAATTTCCAATAAACCTGTGGACTCTCTCTCTCTCTCTCTCTCTCTCTCTCACACACACACACACACACACACACACACACACACACACACACACACACACACACACACACACACACACACATAGACACAAACACGTAAGATCATCAATTTGAAACAGTGGGAGTAAAGCATAACGACTGTCATCGGCTGACAGATGGATCCATCGACCTAAATTTTATTAGTGGCGCCTGACATATTATATAACCGTGGAAAATCACAGTGCTCTCGTGTGGGCGTGGGCTTTTAGCCGCGTCTTAGGACATGGACATGTACGCATTAGTGCCGGCTAACGCACAATAATTTGGCGAGTTGCAGCAAACATCTCATTAATACACAATACCTTAGTTTGACAACTAAGTGTACACATAAATGCTGTGAGTGCAGTGCATATTAGATGCAGTGGAGAAAACAGCGAACGCACCCAGATTTCAATGTATATCAATCGGTCTTTATTCTGGAAACTTGGCCCGTGGAGACGAAAAAACTCATAAAAAGACAAGAAACAAAATTAAAAACAAACAAAATACACCCCAAATCGCCCTCCCACAAACAGCCAACTACATCTGTGTCTCATCAACAAAGACGGATAACGTATGTGGTTTCAAACCTCATATCCATTGAGCCCACATTCTCATTCTCAGAGGTGTTGAGCCTCTAAATAAACTTACACATGAGACTTCTAAATAAAGCTTCAATTGTACTGACTCCAGCCGTTACAAACATCTCACTTGCACCGAGCCACCTCGGTTTCTTCAATAATAACCTCAGAGTGTCATTATGAGCTACCTGAAGTTGAAGCGTGCTTTCCTGTAGTTCTCCATGTGCCGTTTACAGAGGTGAACAATATGCTGTAATTAGAGAGATCTTCGCAGTATCTTTACACACATTTCATGCATGTGTAATCTGGCATTGCCTATAAACATAATCATCACCTGCCATTTCATCTGTAATAACATGTCCCAGATCTTTTTCCTTATTATCTGCAATGCTAAACGCCTGTCCTCAACTTCTTTGACATACATCAACATAAAGATTTAAAAGAGCTGGAGACTAAATCTCTCCTTGTCCAACTCCATTGTTCGCCGCTAATAAAGCTGAAACGCTGTCTCCTGACTTTACTCGAAGCCGCTGGTTGGCATGAGAATAAGCCACAACCGTCACGATGTATTTGGGTAACCTTTTTGAAAACAGAGAAGTCAGCCTAACACTGGCATATTTATGACGCTTGACAAAAATGATCATAACCTTCATGCTTTATTACCTGGTAGGTCAGGTATAGTATGTGCCCTAATGACCATGAAGTCAGTGCTTCCAGTATTATACACCTTCTACAGCTCACTAGGAAAACAATTAAATAAGGTGCTATAATGCTTCTGTCATTATGCAACAATGTTATTTGTTCCAGAAATCCCTTCGACTGTATTTTGGAGCGATATCCTGCAGTTACTACAAACTCTCACCTCTTTCCAGAAACCTGTCATATTGTTACATAGTAGCTTCTCCTCCAGCAGATCAGCTTTTTTTTTTTTTACAAATATGGACTGCATATTTATACTTAGCATTAGTGAGCTTCTTATCCTCAAACACGGACACCTGTCTGGGTACATCAGCTAAAACCCATTTATGAGCTTCAGCATGATACTCTGCTACATATTTATTCCAATCAGATGTGTAGAATGAAGTACCCATAAATGCAGCTATTTAATAAACTAAGCCTGCTTTTTAGAAAAGCCCAGATTTGGATAAAAGTTTCAAGGCTCCCTGTTAAAGGAATGTCTAATCACATGGACGCTAAGACACCGATCAAACTGTCAAAGGTTTTATTGTGCGAGTGTAAAATATGTGTTGATATGGGATTATAGGTACAGGTAGGTGTGGTGTATGCTGCACTAAATCAGGTGACGAGTACACTACAGCACTTTTTAATCTGTGTTAAAGATACACTTCTATGAAAAGGCCACTCCTAGAGTGACACCTATATGTGGAGAGCTTGTGTGTCCATTGTGAGTTTATGTAAGTTGTTAATAAGTGTTCAGAGGACTGGTCAGATGTTAGAGCTAGCAGGTCTGAATTAGCTCCTTCACTTGGTTTATCACCCCTGATAATACATGTTTAGTCTTTTAGCCGTCTACACATTAAATAGAATACAATTCAACTCTCTCCCAGTGTGATTTCAATTACCAAAAAAAGAAAACTGCACCAAAGCATAACAGCATTTAAAATAAATACAGAGCAAATTTAATTTCAATGAAAAAGGAAAGGATTAAAAGTGGGAGAAGGCAGAGGGAGGACAGACAAACAAATCTTCTCATCTTTTACCTCATTGCTACATGCTTTGTCATTCAATTTTAAAATCCAAGCTGACAAACCTTAGAATGAACGTCTGAGAATGCAATCCTCCTGTATTTGTTGCAGAAGCTCTTAAACAGACTCTCTTTGCCCATGGTGTCTGACAACAGCTGAGCGATTTCTGATTCTCAATCAAAGAATCTGACTCTCAACTCATCGCTGAACCTTGGACAATCTTTATCAAATTCTCTGAAGACCATAAATTATGAAACCAATTACTACCCTCAAGCTGCTAACTCTGGGACACCCAATGATATAAAGTTACATAAATCAGCCAATAAATCCATAAATTCCAAATTTTCTCTTCCATATTCCCACAGCTGCGTGCCTCACCACCCACAAAAGGTCAAATAAAGTTTAAAAGAAAACCATGTGACTCACCCTGCTGCTTGGGCCGTCACCTGACGATCCACCCACTTGCTCGTTTGTCACTACAGTATTGTTCAGATCCCATGAAGTCCCTGTGTGGAAAAAAAACACACATTTCTGCTATGCCATTCTGGTATGATAAAGCACTCTGAGCAGCAGCAGAAGTATGAGGAAGCAGCTTAATATCACAGTTACTACAAGTCTGCTTGAATACTAGTTTAAGTAATGAACATGAACCAGCCAGCAGGCTCTACATGTCTGTTATAAAATGCTAATTCAAGCTGCAGTTCTTCCAGCAGCGCTTTGCTTCTACATGATGCAAACAGCCTGCCTGAGGATATCGAACACTGCAGGAGTACCTGCGAGGTAGTACTGCCGCAGCTTAGGGTTTCTGATGTGCGGGATGTGGTTGAGGGGTCGACACACAATTGTCTGGTGCTGGAGCTGGCTGCTGGTTGTAGCCTCCTGCAACACTCGGCCTGATGGTTGTGTCTCCCAGGGCCGTTTTGCAAACTGTGGAGGCTGAGAGACACCAGCAGGCAGCTTGGATCCCAACCTGAGGCACAGAGAATCAAAAACAGATTTAATGCCTTTATATTAAAGCTCTGCAATGTTTAACAAGGCTCTGTACTAACACGCCAATAATCCAACTAATATTTGGTTAAATGTAACTTGACCAAACATTTTAGTAGCTGCCAAGAAAGTTTTTGCATAACTCTGGGGGGATCTTTGACCACTCTTCTTGGATGAATCAGTAGGATTAACTTAAATTTGTTGGTTTCCTGGCACAGATTCGCTTTTAAGTATACTGCACAAATTTTCAGTAGGACTGCGGTCTGAGCATTGGGAAAGAAATTACGGAAGGTTAATGTTAGCCTACTTTAGCTATTCCAAAACCAGTTTTGATGTTTGGGATCACTGACCTGCCGGTACACCCAGTTGTGTCCAAGTTTTAACTGTCTAACTGTTGATTTGAGGAGAAGGTGAAGAATTTGGAAGTAGTCCTCTTCCTTCATTATTTCATCCACTTTGTACAGTGTACTCGTACCACTGGCATCAAAACACCCCCAGAGCATGATGCTACCACCACCATGCTTACAACTGGTACAGTGTTCTTAGTTTTGAAAGCCTCACCTTTACTCCTCCAAACATGCCTCTTGCCATTGTGGCCACAAAGCTTAATCTTTGTCTTGTCTGACCATAAAACTTTCCTCCACTGTGGACAATGACACTGATATTCCAGCAGTTTCTAGTTCATCGCAGGCTTAATCCTTATTGGTTCCTGTGCAGTTCCTGAACATCCTAACCAAAGTCAATTTAGGCAACAATTTAGTCTTCTTCCAGACTTTGGAAAAAGTGGTGACATATCTGAATAACATCTACTTATGCACAATTGTTTGAAATGATGATCGTGAAATCTGCAGTTGTTTAGAACTCTGCTTTCTAGATCTTCACTGAGTTCCTTGGACTTCCCACTGGTCTGAGCCTGTCAAACAGATCTTTTTTTTATTGCTAACAAAGAGAAACTACCAGGTTTAGTCAATCATGATCACCAAGGAGAAGTTAATAGGTCTTGGCCTTCAAGTTTAATAACACTTTAGAACTTTCAGCACCACTTATTGAAAAGTGGATGTGTATAGTTGAATCTTTATGTTTACTTTTGACCCTGTCTGGATTAGAGAATCCAAGATAACTTCAACCTTGTGACCCAATTCTGGCATTTTAAAGTAATTTAAGAAGTGTTATGTCCAATTATTCCATCCTGGAAAAAAGAACCGTTCTAGATATAGTTAAAAGTCAAAAATTACCATGACATTAATGCCCATAATGGGTGGATGTAAACTTCTAACCACAAATGTATGTAACCATTGGCCGAGAATGAATATTAACACTCAAATATAAATTATATTTTAAGGTGGACTTTCCCTTTAACAGCAGGGATTCAAAGATTGTGTTGTTTAGAGTATCTGAAGTGTGAATAACAGACTACAGCAGCGTTCACAGCCAGAGCCCAGTTATTTATAGGGGAGTAGGAGTTGTCTTTGCAATGGCTAGAGAAGAGACTGAAAGAGTTCTTGGCAAGATGCTATGGCTCTCACCCACATGATGTGACTGAGCGTGGAGTTGTTGGAAATTTGCATTTTGGGATTCTGTTTAGTAGTCAGGCATCACACACAAGGACTAAATTGTAGCTTACTCAAGCTAATATCAGTCAAACATATCACAGACATGCTTTCTTCTTTGCTTTCTTTCCAGTAATCCAAGTATTAGAGGCCTGACCTGGTCTTGACATTGCCGAAGTAGCTAGTCCTCGCCTTGTCTCTCTGGGGCTCACGGTCCATGGCTCCTAAAGTCCCAGCCCTCCTCACAGACTGAGCCATTTTCTGTTTTTCTTTAGTCTGTTGCTGGCAGCAGTGGCAGATGCAGAGGGACGAGTGGCTCAGCTGGCATCCTTCCTCCTCCTTTTATTCCCCATGCCTACCTCCTGCCCCAGTTATGGCACCTACACAAGACAGCAATAAAGTCAGAAAATGTGGAGGGATTTTACAAGCATCCACCTAATTATGAAAGAGAGATGGGTGAATCAAAAGCCTACACTTTACCCTAGAAAGAAGTGAGATACACATTAACAGGGTTAATCCAAGCAGGAGAAATGTTTTGCACACTCTTAAATAGGTTGCAGCCTGACCAAAATGATAAGACCTGGGAAGAAAAGAGCCATTTAAATCTTCAAATCAAACAAGCAGAGCACAAACTTATATGATGCCTCATCAACGGCCAGTCACATGCTACTATAGCCCTGTTATAGGTCAACTATCACAATAGAAAGAACGCAACAAGATAAGCATTGAATCTAAAAAAAGGTTTACTTTTTACGCAATCGGAACAGTGGGATATTGCAGGAAAACAATATTACAACATATTGCAACACTGAACTGTATTAATGTTTTCCTTCACCACCGTCTTTTTGCTCAGAGAGATCTATAAAGTAAGGTTACACACACTATCTGACTTATTAACCCTCTATCCTCTCCCAGTGGCATACTATGAGATAATAAAGGGTGAGAATACTCAAGGGAATTAAGACAGATTTCCAGTTCAATAAAAATATCCATCAAAATACGTGCTTACAGTCAATGGGAACTATAGTGATCAAAGATTGCTGACCAGCTTACCGTTTTGTTTTGCATTTCTGTAACTATGTAAAACAGGATATTGTTATGCAGGAATGTCCTTATAGATGGATCAGATAATGTATGTGCTGGCTTTTTAGCTGGGGAAGGCGCTACTTAGGCACTACTTAAAACTATGTTCACGTCGTAATATATGCACCATTGTAGCTACAGCCTAATTCCTGCATTTCATGTGGCATCCCAAAGCTCACATCCCTGAGCGATTAGTTATTTGTTATATCTGAATTAGCGGCAACAGCAGTGTTAGCTAGCTTAGCTTTGTACTGCATACTTTAGGAACATTACACGATCATAGGTTAAAAAAACGATAATAACATGCTTCATGTAAATGTATAAGGTGTCATTATCAGCGTGGAGGAAGTAAGCATTTGAGACGACATCACAGAATCATCAAGACAACAGCTATGGCAAAAATATATATATTTATATACATTAGCGGCAGATTTGGGGGAGATGGGGGATTTATAGGAGCAGCAGGTTAACCGAGTGTTGTCTTCACTGACCTGTGTCTAGCCCAGGGATGGAGACGGGTGGCGGTCATATGAGCGCGTCTTCATATTGCAGTGTTATGATATCACTGCAGACAACAGTAACAAGTTCCGCCCTGTTCCCGGCGTCGCGCCGATTCACAGCTACCTGTCAAGATTGTTCCTCCACCATCGGCAGGCGAAGGCGGAAGTATGTAGCAGGGAAACATCTTGTCTTTTCACCGCATCTTTTCTCATTGCTTCTGAGACAGGATGCAGCCGACGTTTTGGGACACAGCTACAGAGGACTAGTTTGTCCAAAGAACCCTTACTATAAACGTCAGAGAATACAATACTACGCATGTATTTAGATATAAATACAGGCATATGCATTTCTTAAAGAATATTATAATCAAAGAGTACTCTTTTCTAAAAAAACAATTATAAAAGATTACTGTTTCCCTGAAATAAAGTAGGGAAATACAGTATGCGACAACAAAACAACAATAAAAGACAAAATATTTCCTACTTACCTGCACATGGTTAAGCTTCACAGCAAAAACAGAACAAACAAAACAAAAATTAATGTAATCAATTTATGAAAAATATAATGCAGGTAACCACTCACTTTATTAGGTATACCTGCTTGTCAAGAACTGTCTTAAATCCTTCATGGTACAGATTCAACAAGGTACTAAAAACATTCCTCAGATTGACATGACAGCATCTTACAGTAGCTACAGATTTGTTAGCTGCACATCCATGATGCAAATTTCCTGTTCAACCACATTCCAAATGCACTGTATTGAACTGAGTCTGTCTGTGTGTTAGTACAGTGAACTCAATGTCATGTTCAAGGAACCACTCTGAGATTATTTGTGTTTTGTGACATAATGTGTTGTCCTGCCAAAAGCAGACATTAGAAAATGGAAACGCTCCCGTCATGGTCATCAACAATTACTTAAGTAGGGTTTTGTTGTGTGCTTGCTCAGCTGGCATGAAGTTACCCAAAGTGTGCTATCCCTCACACCATTACATCACCATTAGCAGCAACCTAAACTATTGATACAAGGAACAATAGATCTATGATTTCATGTTCTTTATGTGGAATTCTAAAACCGAACAGAGAGTCATCAGATGTTGTATCCCAGTCTTCTATTGTCAAGTTGTGGTGAGTCAATATCAAATGTACCCTCATTTTTTTGTTCTTAGCTCTTGGGAGTGGCCAGCTGTGGTCTTCTACGGCTTCAGCACATTTGCTTCAAGGTTTGGTGCTTTTGGAGAGGTTCATCTGCATACTTTGGTTGTAACCAGTGGTTGTTTGAGTTACTGTTGTATATATATATATGGTTGTGAAGGAACCCCCATCCCCACTGCCCAGATCAGCAGTCCAAACTTTTGGCACAAACATCCATCCTATGTTCATGTCACTTAAAACACATTTTTTTCTTCCCCATTCTGATGTTTGGCTTGAACATCAGCAGGTTATTTTAATCATGTCTAAATTAATTGCACTGGGTTTTAAACATAAATCCATACGGGATGTTGAAATGCACTACCTTATACTGAGAAGTACTTTTTGGCCACTTATATCATTGCATTGTGCAATTCATAATCAACAACAAATAATCCGACTTTTGTAGTAAATAGCATTAAACACCTGCAAGACTTTATAAACCCTCAAATTATAATTGTACTATTCTTAAAAGTAGGTCATGTGGTGTTGAGGGTTGGGCTCAAGACAGCAATATACTGAACATAGTTTGACAACAATAACAGCTCGTGGTTTTTGGTAAAAGATATTCGTGGATTTATTTCTAAGCACTGCTCACTTCCACCTGTAGGAGGTGCTCTAGAACCAATCCTGCAAGGAAAGGAAGCTCGTGAAGCTGCAGCCAATCAGATCGCAGGACAGAGAGGTACAGGTTTCCGGCCTGCTGAACGACAACAATCTGAAAGACGAAGAGGAAAAGCTGCTGCTTCCACTTCATCGTCGGGATTGTAGTCATTTATAATCAGCGGTAAGTTACAGTTTTCAAGCTTGTGCTGAATTCTGTTAAGTTGTACGAAACATGCTGAGATATGTTGATGAATTTTACATTTGAGGGGTCAAGCAGGGGGCCGTTTTTGGCGCTGCTAAAGCTAGGTGACGGTGCCTGTGTTTGGGACCATTTTTTAGGTTAGCTACCCGGCTAATGACAAACTCAGCAAAGCTGTTCGCAAATCACAGGACTAAATGTTATCTTTCTACCGCTTTGCACCTGCTTTCATCCAGTTTAACGTCAGACAAAGTAGCATGCGTCGTTTTCATTAATAAAATTACCGGTTTTAGCTACCTAGCAATTTTAGCATTCACGATTATTACTCCGTTATTTGATGTTTACCAGATAGACGATGGAGTGTGATTAAGCTGTACCAGCTCTGACTAGCTCCCGAGGCGTGACAGTTTATAACACCTGTTTACGACTCGTTTTTTAAAAAGAAATTTCTCAAAAAAGCCACAATCAAATGAGTGCTGATAACTTAACTGTGTATTTGAGCCTTTTATGGCGATTTCTGATGTGTTTGGAAAGTTTGGTAAGTAACACGAATCGCCCTGCATTAGTACTAAGTAACAAGTCATCGATATTCACAACTGCTTTATATCATATTTTACTAAAACAAGCAAAATCAAATTTATGGGAGAGTACTAGTTCTTGTGAAGTAACCATGTGTTCAGATTTTTCCTGTTACTCTTAAACAGTTTTGGGCAAGTTACTTTGAAAAAGTAATTAATTATAGTTACTAGTTAGTTCTTCAAAAAAAGGTAACTGAGTTAGTAACTGAGTTACAATATTCTAAAAGTAATTTATTGAAAAGTAACTATTGCGTTACTTTAAAAAACGTTTAACCCTCTGGGGTCCAGGGTATAATTGGCAATTTTTAACTACTTTTGATTTTCCCTCCCTTCTTATTTGCATCCATTTACCTTCTACCTTGATTTTTTAAAATAACCATTTCAAACTATTTACAGAACAATCAGCTGTTCTGCATTCAATAAGATGCCACACAAATTATTTGTGCCACTCTGAAAAAATAATTTCTGTCCACTATAAGGGAGAACATCAAAGCCTGATACCTGCAGGTCTGACAGCAGCAGGTGTATCACACTCCAAACACGCTAAACGTCACACATCTCTCACATCTCAAAACTCGCTCTCTCTCTTTTTCTGCTCTCTCTCTCTCTCTCTCTCTCTCTCTCTCTCGCTGTCACTCCTAAAACTTCCCCTGGTTTTTGGTTTTTGCTCATAAGCAGAGAGTGCTTGCTAGCGCTGTGCTTAGACCAGGGGTGGGCAATTCCAGGCCTCGCCGGTGTCCTGCAGGTTTTAGATCTCACCTTGGGTCAACACACCTGAATCACATGATTAGTTTGTTACCACACCTCTGGAGAGCTTCAGGACATGTTGAGGAGCTAATTTAGCCATTTAAATCAGCTGTGTCAGTTCAAGGACACATCTAAAACCTGCAGGGACACCGGCCCTTGAGGCCTGGAGTTGCCCACCCCTGGCTTAGACAGTAAACGTGGCGAAACTATTGAGGAAAAAACACCACGTATATATTGTTTATCATGACTCTGGTTTTACGTGGCCTATCAACACAATTTAAAAACTGGTTTATATCACCTTGTTGCTTTGTCTTTAAGTGGTCATGTGATTGGCTTACCACGACTACTTTATTCTTCCTCAGTCAAACAGCAGCACTCATGCGATTGTTTTGCACCCTTAGCTCCAGGTGTTGTGCTAGACAGTGATCGTGATTACCGTCTGCGGGAGTGCGTGCAGCTGCTTAAAGCTGTAGCGTCCAGATTACTTACAGCTACTTCCGTGCAACTGATATAAGATGCAGTAAGCTGAACACAGCTTCAACCATCTGTTTGTTGAAAAATAGTAACGGATCATATTTTCTTGTTAGTAACTGTAACGGCGTTGTAACGATAGGAATAGTAATTAGTTAGATTACTCGTTACTGAAAAAAGTAACGCCGTTAGTAATGCCGTTACATGTAACGCCGCTATTCCCATCATTGCTCTTAAATAATAAGCAATTTTCGGTCCCGAGAACTGGCAGTCTCTCTCACATGACATCTGTTTACTGAAATTCTCTGTCTTCAGACACTCCCAGCAATAAACTTTGGTGTGCAACTTCCTGATGAGACGAATGAGACTGATCCACAATTAACATGGAAGCAGAAACGGTAAGTTTTAAAGAGCGTTTTACACACACGGATTGTTCAGAGAAACAAACCCAGCAAGAAAAAAAAACTTATGTGTTTTTATTGTTTGCAGGAAGTTATACCCATCTGGCAAAATAAGCCTCACGGATCCACGCGCAGTGTTGTGAGAAGAATAGGTTCCACTCTTCCACTTAAACCTCCTCAAAGGGCATGCTTCCAGGTATATGAAAAATACTGTATTCTCCTAATTATTCTGTCCTTTTTATATAAAAAAACGCTGCTGTATACATTAATGTCTTTGTGCATTAGGAGCTACCAGGTCTGCCTTCTCTTCGTCCAATGGACGGGCCTATGGTTCCTACCTTGGCAGACATAGCCTGGATTGTTGCAGATGAAGAGGAGACATATGCCAGAGTGAGGTGAGTCTAGACTGAACCGAATAGAAAGGTAAACATGAAGGTTATGGAGTAGTGCCGGGTTAATTCTTCTCAACAGCATTAAACCAGACACTTATTTTCCAACTTAGGAAACTGATATATTGTCCTATTTTCCTGGTGTTTTTTTTTTGTCCTTTTATTCATGAAATTTGAAAAAGGTCGGCTTAATTACAGTGCCAATGTTTCACAATAGACACCTCTATCTGATGAACTGATCTCTTCTGGGGAGTTGTTAAAAGGAGACATTTGTACCCTGGGGAGATAAACAGACTCAACACCTCAAATCTGTTTTTTGTGACAGTAAACACTTGCTCTTCTGTTTTTAGAAGTGACACACGTCCTCTGAAACACGAATGGCGACCCACACCGCTCCTGGTGCTTCACAGGAATTCATCTGTGCCCAATTTCCGCCGTGAGGGCAAAAGGATGGAGGGGCTGAAGAAGCCTGGCGTGACTGCACTGAACCGTACTACAGCACTGCAGGATGAGCTCAGCAGACTTCGAGCGCAGATCGCTAAAATTGTGGCAAGTGATTCAGGT